ATATGTGTGTGTGGCTCACGTAGATTTTAATCTTAAATGTTCTATTTTCTTTATCTTACAAAAGAGAACATGTGGTTTGGAAGTATTAAGTCACTTGCCTGAGGCCACCCCACTAATAGGTGACAGGGTCAAGATTCAACCCATCCGACCTCCCCCAGAGCTGGAGCTTCTTGTGCTGCACTGCCTGTGCCCCTCCTGTCTCTCTGCCCCTGGGCATCTCTGTATGAGCTGAAATGAGAAGGAAGAGCATCATCTTGGCGCACCTCTGCTGGAAACAAGTGCGTGGGTGACTTGTATTATTTGCTAATCTGTGCATGTCTGAGAGTGACTGCAAAAGCACCAGAGGTTGCAAATCAATTTTAGCTAGTAGCTGAATTTGCAAATACAGAATCTGTGAATAATAAGGATTGACTACCATGCTGATACTAATCAAAAGAAATGTGGTTTGGTCATATTAATATAAGACCGAGTAGAATTCAGAACAGAGAATGTTATTACTAAAAAAAAAAAAAAGTCAATTTTACAATGGTAAAAGAGTTAATTCATCAAAGGGATTAAATATTTATGCTTCAAATAACAGAGCCTCAAATAAATAAGCAATTACTGATACAGCTGTAGGGAGATATAAACAGATAAACCTGCAATTGCAGTCAGAGGTTGCAATACTTCTTTCAATAATGGATACAAGCATATTATTAGTAAGAACATAGAACATTAGAACAACACATAACCAGCTTGACTAAATTGACATTTATGGAATACTCCACCAAACAGCAAAATACACACTTCTTCAGGTGCACACATTTACCAGATAGACCATATTCTGGGCCATAATATTTAAACCTCAAATTTTAAAAATTTAAAGTCACTCAAACTATATTTTCTGACTACAATAAAGTTTAATTAGAAATTAATAACACAAAGATATCTCCAAATATTTGAAAACTAAATGGCATACTTCAAAATTACCCAGGGATCGAAAGGAAATCAAAGTAGTAATAGAGAGCATTTTGAAGTGAATGGAAATAAAAACACACCATATCAAAATTTGGAAATTTATATCACTAAACACCTATATTAGAAAAAGAAAAAAAAACTCTTAAATTAATTACCTGTTTCACTTTAAGAAACTAGAATAAAAAAAAAGAAAAATATCTTTCTGCCAATAAACTCAACAAATTAGACAAATAAATAAATTCCTTTAAATACACAAATTAATAAACTTAAAAGAAGTTAATAATCTTATAGGCCAATCCTTATTACAGAAATTGAATTAGTTAAAAACCTTCCATAAAGAAATCTTCAGGCCTAAGTGGCTTTATTGGTGAAATATACCTAATGGCCAAGGAAGAAATTTTAACAATTCTTTGGGAACTCTTCCAGAAAATTGAAGAAAAAAAGAAAAAGAAAATATTTCCTAACTCTATCTGTAAAGCTAGCATTACTCTCATACTAAAAGCAGACAAAGACATTAAAATAAAACTATAGACCAGTGGTCGGCAAACTGCGGCTCGCAAGCCACATGCAGCTCTTTGGCCCCTTAAGTGTGGCTCTTCCACAAAATACCATGTGCGGGCGCGCATGTACAGTGCGATTGAAACTTCGTGGCCCATGTTGCAGAAGTCGGTATTTTGTGGAAGAGCCACACTCAAGGGGCCAAAGAGCCGCATGTGGCTCGCGAGCCGCAGTTTGCTGACCACTGCTAGACCAATATTACTCATAAACATAAACAAATTCTAAACAATTTTAACAAGTAAAATATAGCAATAAACAAAAAGGATACTAATACAACATGACCAAGTAGGGTTTATCCCAGGAATACAAGGTTTCATTAATGTTTAATTGATATAATTCACTTATTAATAAACTAAAAGAGAAAAATAACATGGTCAGTCGAATAGATGTGGGGTGGGGGAAAATTTGACCAAATTTATCATCCATTCCTAATAAAAACTCTCATAAAATGAGAAAACAGAAGTGAACTTCTTCAACTTGATAAAGGGCATCTATGAAAGCCCGCAGCTAGCATTTAACTTGTTGTGAAAGACTGAGAACTTGTCCCTGAGAGCAGGATCGAGACAAGGATGCCCACTCTGGACATTTCTACTCAATATCGTATTATAACTTCTAACCCAAGAGGTTAGTAATGAGAAAGAAATAAATGGCATACAGATTGGAAAGGAGGGAGCTAAACTATCTCAGTTTGCAGGGTACATTATCATATAGAGAGAACCCTAAGGAATACACACACACACACACACACACACACACAGCTTTTTTTTTTTGCTTTTTTTTGGTAACAGATGAGTTAAGCAAGGTGCAGGACACAAATTAATACACAAAAATCAATTGTATTTTTACATACTAGTAGTGAATAGTTGAAATTGACATTTAAAAAATAACAATAGCAATTTTATAGCATCAAAAATATAATATACTTAGGGACAAATGTGATCAAAGATGAGGAAGAACTATACACTGAAAACTACAAAGTATTGCTAAGAGAAATTGAAGAATACCTAAATAAGTAGAGAGATGACTGAGAATATTAGCGAGTGAGAAGACTTAATATATTAAAGTGTTTATTCTCCCAAAATTAACCTATAGATTCAATCGAATACCAATCAAGACCCCACCCAACTTTTTAATAGAAATTGACAGTCTAGATCTCAAATTCACATAAGCATGCAAAGGACCTAGAAGAGTAAAAGACAGCCTTGAAAAGAGCAACAAATTTGAAAGGCTAACACTGATTTCAAGACATTATAAAACTACAATAATCAAGACAGTGTGATAATGTTGTAAAGGCAAACAAATAGATCAATGGATTCTTTTTCTGAAAATAGATGGAGCCATAACTGGTGTTTTCCAGATAATATTTGATAGATTGATCGAGTAAGACACCATATTTCTGTGGAATGAGAAGTGACAGGATGACCCTGGATAGTATGGAAGAATGAGTTTATGTAGAACTCCCCTCCTTTCTCTGTTCTAAACACAGAGAGTTTGCTTGTTTGTTTTTAAAACTTTTTAAAAGTCAACTCTATGGATGTAAACAAAGTGGAACACACAACAGCAGGTGGGGCTCAAGTGCTGGCCTACAGGCTCCAGGGTGGAAAACAGGTGGTGTGCGCTGACTTTCAACACCTGCAAGGGCGTATGGGCAGGAGCTCGAGGCAAGTATCAGGGGACCAGACCCAACCTCTCCTGGGGGCATGTGCAATACTGAGCGCTGCGGAAGGCGTGGAGAGAAGAGAGTCCCACCTGAGCACAGAGCTGAGTTTGGCTCTGGCCTGAGGACTAGGTCTTCACCATCCCTGAGAGACCAGAACTCAAGTGATCCTGTTACACTGGTTCTGAGAGGAGGCCCCAGAGGTCCATGTAGAAGAGCGACAAGACTGCAGACCCAGAGAAGTAAACCAGGGCAGAAACAACAGCAATAAGACACCCCTGCTCAGATGAACTAAAATCTCAGGGCTGGGACTGCTAATACATAAAGGATACCCAGTAAACTTAAGAAATGAGAGGGAAATAAAAGAGAAATCTAAAGAAGTCACTGATGTCAGTATATTTAAAATCCTCTAAAAGGAAATAGAAGAAATAGCATCCACCCTCTAAAAAAGGAGAAGACAGGGTGGTGAAGAAAAAAGAGATGGATAGCTATGAATCAGAAATTGTTTGATACGAAAAAGAAGCAACTTGAAATTTTGGAAGGAGAAAATATATTTATTTAATTACAAAACTCCACGGTGACATAAACTCTAGACTAGACTCAGTTGAAGATAGAAATTCGTGACACTGGAAAGCCATACAAAGGAATTTATCTGCTGATACCGTCCCTTATTTTGTAGTGTTTTAGTCAGGAGATGTGCAGTCAGGTGGAAGCTGGCCAGAGGTGGAGGCGAGCTGTGCCAGCGCTCAGCAGAAGAACCGGAAGCCACCCTACAGGGTTTTCAGGACCCAAGTGCCATTGCCCTTCCCTGGCTGAGCAGTCACCTCCCGCTACAGGCTGCTGAGCTGGGCAGCAGGGGAGAGGCAGATAAATGACTGATTACCTCAGGGGGATTAAGTGACCCCAGTGGCTTCATCGATCTGCATCATTGCCTCACCTGGTCTTTCTTTGAAAGGAGGAGCCACGTTGAGGAAGGATCCAAAGCCATCCCAAATTCTGAGTAGTTTTTTAAAGCCATAAATAAGCCTTCCTCTATCTCACCTTCTGGAAAGAGAGAGGATGGGCTGCTAGCACACTGTCAGAGGAAGGAATTGTTTGCGCGGGGAGCCGGGCAGGTGTCTGAGTGTGCACTTTGTCCAAGGTGGGGGCTGAGAACATGGCTTCGTTGCTTGTATATTTCCATGTTGCTGAGGCCATGCATGCCACAAAGTTTGGCACTGGAACACTGCGTCAGTGTGGCATCCCTCTTCTCTGGTTAACAAGGCCAACACACCGGAACTGAGCAGTGCGGCATTAGAGGGACACTTGGTGTGAAGTGATGTCGGCTACCACCCACGAAGTCTCTTTTTAGGCCAGACCCACCTGCCTAGAACTCTGTCCCTATGGTGTGGCCCATTCTCTCCCCTATTTGTTTCTGTAATTAGTAAGGAAACGGTTCTTCAAAATTACTAACGCAAGCTGTAGTAGGATTCATTTTAACATGGCTCTGTGTTTGGAAGGAACTCTATTTTTCTTTAGAGTCCTAGATCTTTTTAAAATATATATATTTTTTATTGATTTCAGAGAGGAAGGTAGAGGGAGAGAGAGATAGAAACACCAATGATGAGTGAGAATCATTGATTGGCTGCCTCCTGCATGCCCCCTACTGGGGATCAAGCCCACAACCTGGGCATGTGCCCTGATCCGGGAATCAAACCATAACCTCCTGGTTCATAGTCTCAGTTGTACAGAGACTGGGCAGATTGTCTCAGGAAAGAGTCTATTGCAATTGCATGGCAGGTTTCAAACTAAACTTTCTACTCACTGTTTCTCCCACCCTGTGCTCCAGCTGCCCTCTCCTCTGCTCAGGCTCAGGACCAACCAACCACCATGGTGTCGCCCCTGTGCACCCAGAACTCCCCGTCCCGTCTGCCCACTGCCAGCCTCAGGCCCCACTCCATGGTGTCCCTGCAGCACCTCCACCAGCCCCCAGTGCAGACCATCACTGGTGCCCAGTGCCCCTGGCCAGCCATCCCTCTCACGTCAGCGGCATCGGCCGTCACACCTCCCAATGTCACTGCTGCCAACCTCAACGGGGAGGCCGGAGTGGGGACCGTCAGTGGCCTGTCTACATCCAGCCCCACCAACGTGGGAGGTATGTCCTGATTGGAGAGGGTGCAGGGTGGGCTGAGGGGACCCCCCTCCCCCACACACATGAATTTTGTGCACTGGGCCTCTAGTTATAACAGAATACACAAACCCACTTTTGTGGCAGCTATGCCTTCCCTGTGTCATCCCTGAGCAGGCACCACTGCTCAGGCTCACCGCTCAGGCCTGCTTTCTGTGGAGAAACGGGAGCAGGATGCCAGCCTGAGTTGGTATGGGTGGCATTGCTAGCTCTTCTTTTAACTGTGGAGGAAGTAGGCTTATTTCACAAAATAAATCTGATTCCAATGAGCTTGCCTCAGTTGCCACCCATCCAGACACTGGATCAACCAGGATTATACTCCAGGTTTCTAAATTAATGCTGTCCAATTAATTTATTTCAAGACACATATCTAATGTGAAATCTCCTAGTAGCCACCTTTTTAAAAAGTTAAAATAATTTTTAAATAAAATTAAAACATTAATTTTGTTAGTATAATCTATTAAACCCCATATCCAAATATATTATCATTTTAACATGTAATCTATATTAGAAACTTGTTGGTGATATGGTTTACCTTTCTTCAGCCAGTGAGACAGCCCTGGTGCTCAGGGGCCACTGCCTGCCTAGCGGCTCCTTGGAGTGTGGGCCTAGGTACACAACAGGGACCCCCTCTCTTTATCGGCCTGTATGAAAGGTTTATGCTCATTTTCTCTCATCTTGACACATTCTGCAAATCTTTTAAAACCTTTCCATGTAAAATCAGTCTTCTGAATGGAATTTGCTAGCTAGGGCTTGGATGAGACCCTCAACCCTGGATTGTGTATTCAAAGGGCAACCAGGCTGGCAGAGGGGGCAGTTGGGGGTGACCTGGTCAGCAAGGGGGCAGCCTCTCTGCTTTTAGGAACCATACCTAAGCCAGGCTGACTGCTCAGTCCATCAGCCTAGGAGCCCCTGGAGGCACACCCACCAGCCAGCACCCTGTGGATGTGGGAGTCCAGGAACCGCCAGAGATGCCCACACCAGACTCTTCAGGGCCTCACGATGCTCAGGTCTGATCACAACCTGTCTTGTCCAGGCCAGAGGAAAGCAATTCCCGTGTAGCTGGTGTGGAGGAGGCCTTGGTCACAGCTGCTCCTGCCGAGCTCTCAGCTCTCAAAGCTCAAATCCCCCGGATATTAATAGGATGTGAAGTGAAGTGGTTGCACTACCCTTTGTGTTCATGTTTGAAAGTCACTTGGGTCTTGATCTGCTCCCTTCCACCTGCAGCCTTCTGAGGAGACGTGCTGGGCCTTTCAGCTGGCAGAGGTGGGGGTGGTCCCACCCTCTCACTAGGACATCTTTCCTGGAAGACAAGATCCCCTCGGCCCCCGAATTGCTGAGAAAGAACAGGGGACAGACTTAGAAAGGGAAGAGCCATAATTGCTGTCAACATTTCTGGTTCTTTGCCCCAGCTCCCTCTCTCCAGTTAGTGAAACAGGGCAGGCTTCATTCAGTGTGGTTCATTGCTGGGCAGGGTCAGGCTTGTAGGAATCGACATGGTGAGTGATATTACTCACCACCTTTGCCCTCTTACGTGTGACGCTAATGAAAACCAACATTGGGTCGGTTTTGACAGGCCCACATTGTTAGACACTTAGTAGGTGTTTTGCTTTCACCCAAGGCTTACTCTCTGCTAACAGTTCTCCTATGTCAGGAAGGAGCAGTTGAGTCCAGGGTCCCTCTTAATGAAAGGCTCCTCAGGTGAAAGTCCTGCTCCCACATGGAAAGCAGCTTAGCTCAGATGACTCCCCAGGTTGGACCTGGCAGTGGAAATGCACAGGCCCGCAGCAGTCCATACCTGGCCATGCTTGTGGCTGGGCACAGACTCCTCGAGGCACAGGAAGCAGTTTATGCTTTGTTCCCAAGTAATGGAGTCTGGGAGGTGTGCTATCTTCCTCCATGGACAGATGAGTAATTCAGAGGTGTGGGCCCTGGACTTGGCCAACCTGCAGAACTCAGTTCACCTGGATTCTGACACCCCAGCTTCTTTCAAATTTCATCCTCTTCTGATCATTTTCATGTGATAACAACCACACAGGACCTCAAGATGGTGGCTCCTTAGAGAAATTCAGGAGCAGTTGCCAAATTAAGATTGGACATGGATGGAAGCCCAAATCAGGACCCTTATTCAGGGAGGTGCCGCCTGGCAGGGTCTGGCTGCTCTCAGCAGGGCAGTGGCAGGAAAGGGCCTGGCCAGCTGCCACCTGTGCCTGCGCCTCTGAGGTCCCCAGGCTGGGTGTGCACCTCACATTTCCTGGAAGCAGTCTGTCTTAAGAAGCACATATATGAGGAAGGGAATCCAAAGCATCCCACGGAGCTGTGGGCTGCCTGTCGGTGCCTGGCATGCTGTCAGCCCACCGTGTGCTAATGGAACTAATAGCTTCAATTATAGCTGAGCCCCAGAAATCTGGCATCCCCTTGATGAAGCAGACTGCTCCCCTGTGTGCCACTCACAGACCTGCTGCTGCCCTTCCGGTGGATGAAGTGGATTCTATCCATCTGTTTTGTTTAAAATTCAGAAGTACCTGAGCTCAGCATACCTGAGTGAATAATAAAGTGTTTAATCTTTCTTGTTCCATTCCAGACGTTCTTCAGAAGGGTACCAGATTTTACACAAACGTTATCTGAATGCATTTTATGTAATCTGATTTGTGGTAGCACTGTGTTTGTTCTGCAGAAATGCCAGAGGCCTGTTGGAAATCCAAACACAAGGCAAAGTTATCCAAACGTGACAAAGTGATTGCACAGCCCAGACCCCTGGGGGGGAGCAGGGCTACCCAGGCTTCTTGTTTCTGCCCTTCTGCTGTTTGACCTAATCTCCTATGAAGCACTTTTAAAGGAATTAATGTTATGCTATAAATACTACTGGGTTAGCAGAGTCTTCCGACTTCAATGAAAAGATGACAGCATTGAGCTGACGTTGCAAGAGAACAGGGTCACACATTTCTACAGCTTCTTGGGTGCTGAGTCCAAAATAATTTCTGGAGAATTGAAACCTCAGCACTTTAATCTTCCCTCATTGAACAACATTAGCCCCAGTTAACCTTGCATCAGCCCTAGGATAGTAGCCTAGGAAAGACAGCTTCTCTCCTGGAAGCCATGGGAGTGCCACCAAGGCCTGGTCTGCTCCCCATTTTGTGTCCGGACTCCTCTGAGGACTTGGGGGTGACACCTGTCCCTGCTGGGGCCTCTCTTTGGAGGAGGAGCAGCTGTGCACTGGCCACTTGTCAGGTGTGGGCTGGCATCACACTCAGAACATGATGATGCCGAAACCGGTTTGGCTCAGTGGATGGAGCGTCGGCCTGCGGACTGAAGGGTCCCAGGTTCGGTTCCGGTCAAGGGCATATACCTGGGTTGCGGGCACATCCCCCGTAGGAGATGCAGGAGGCAGCTGATCGATGGTTCTCTCTCATCGATGTTTCTAACTCTCTATCTCTCTCTCTCTTCCTCTCTGTAAAAAATCAATAAAATATATTTTAAAAAAAAGAACATGATGATGGCAAGACTGAGAGAGACCCTCAGGGAGAAGCTGTCACTGACAGTGACAAAAGGGCCCATGCGGGGCTCTGAGCCAGCTGAGTAGGGTCTTTCAGAGGGAAATGAGCATCATGATCAGAGGCAGCGTCTTGTGCAAGCAATTAAAATTTATTGATTGATTTTTTGAGAGAGTAACATTACTTTGTAGAGTAACATTACTTTGATGTTCCACTTATGCATTCGCTGGTTGTTTCTTGTATGTGCCCTGACTGGGGATTGAACCCACAATCTTGGCGTATTGGGGCAACATTCCAACCAATTGAGCTAGCCGGCCAGGGTTTGGTCAAGTCATTTAAATGTTATTTATGTCCTCGTGGCCTTGTCAAGTTCCACACTTCCATCTCTGTGGCTCTTGCTGTTTGTTTCATTCCTTTTCTTTTCCTCAGCTCCCATGAAACAGTCTAGCTGTCTCTCTGATACATTCGAGCTTGCATAGTTTGGATTCCCGGGCTGTTGTCTGCCTCACAACCCAGTTATGCCTTAAAATCAGGATGGGGCCTTCTAGTTTCTGAACTCCCCATCTGTGGGAAATGTGATCTGTTGGTTTTTACAAGCCAGCTATTTAGTTTGATTGGTTATCTAGAAATCTTAATGCTTCCAGTAAGAATATATTGAAGTTCAGTATTTGGCATCTCACAGAATTCTTCTCATCGATTATTTGAATGCCTGATTTGCCTCTCAGTCGTACATGTTTCCAACATTTCTGTAAATATTTTGGAATGTGCTTTCATGTTTCCATCTCAGATTTATTTATCAAAAATACAGTGCATATGTATGTCTATGTGTTTGTATGTGTGTATTGTGTATGTGTGTGCATGTGTGTATGTGTGTTTTTGTGTGTGTTGTGTGTGTGTGTGTGTGTGTGTGTGTGTGTGAAGCTCATGGAAGATCTTTGTCCTCTAACATGCCATCACAGCCTGTGAGAAGAGCGGGCTCAGTGATGAGCGGAAAATAACCCTCCTCCATCCCTGCACTCATTAACCACCTGCAATGGGAATGGCGGGCGATGTGGTGGTACAACCACCTGCAATGGGAATGGCGGGCGATGTGGTGGTACAGGAAGCCTGGAGGACCCAGGTCCAAGAGCACCAATGTGCCACTCCTCTGGACCATTGCTTTTGAAGGAAAGACCAGAGCTTGGTGCTTTTGAAGGAAAGACCAGAGCTTGGTGCTTTTCCTCTGGCTGAGCGGTGCCGCTTTCTTTTCCAGCATAGTAAAAAGCAGCTGTGGAGTGACAACAGAGAAGTGCTCAGACCAAGACTTCCCCTTGCAGAAAGCAGTCACAAGCTCCGTATCTCTGTGGTACCAAGCATCTGCATTGTAACCATATTGATAAGAATGGTGATGGTGACAGCAAACAAATGTGGCATTTCCCAGGTGTCAGGCATAATGTACCAGTTCAAATGATCCCCACAATAGCTCTCTAGGTT